TCAATGAAAGAAAGAGTCGATTCTTTGAGAAAATCAACAAGATAGACAAACATTTATCCCAAATAACTAAAAGACACAGAATATCCAAATCAACAAAATCAGAAATGAAAAGGGGAACATAACAGACACTGAGGAAATCCAGACAATCATTAGGTCATATTTCAAAAACCTGCACTCCGCAAAGTTGGAAAATCTAAAAGAAATGGATAGTTTTCTCAATAGATACCACTTACCAAAGTTAAATCAAGGTCAGGTAACAACTTAAATAGATCCTATAACCCCTAAGGAAATAGAAGCAGTCATTAAAAGTCTCCCAACCAAAAAAGCCCAGGGCCAGATGGTTTTAGTGCAGAATTCTACCAGACTTTCAAAGAAGAGCTAATACCAATACTCCTCAAATTATTCCCCGAAACAGAAACAGAAAGAACATTGCCAAATTCATTTTATGAGGCCACAGTCACCCTGATGCCCAAACCACACAAAGATTCAACAAAGAAAAAGAATTGCAGACCAATCTCCCTTATGAACATAGATGCAAAAATACTTGCAAACTGAATCCAAGAACACATCAAAAAGATCATCTACCATGATCATGTAGGCTTCATCCCACACATGCAGAGATGGTTCAACATATGAAAATATGTTAATGTAATCAATAAGCAAATTGAAAGAAAAAATATGATCATCTCATTAGATGCTGAAAAAACCTTTGACAAAATCCAACAACCCTTCATGAAAAAAAGTCCTGTAGGGATCAGGGATACAAGGGACATACCTAAACATAATAAAAGCAATATACAGGAAGCCGACAGCCACCATCAAATTAAATGGAGAGAAACTCAAAGCAATTCCACTAAAATCAGGAACAAGACCAGGATGCCCACTCTCTCCATATCTATTCAGTATAGTACTTGAAGTTCTAGGTAGAGCAATAAGACAACTTAAGGAGATCAAAGGGATACAAATTGAAAAGGAAGAAGTCAAACTTTCACTATTTGCAGATGATATGATAGTATACATAAGTGACCCAAAAAATTCTACCAGGAAACTCCTACAGCTGATAAACACCTTCAGCCAAGAGGCTAGATACAAGATTAACTAAAAAAAAAAATCAGTAGCCCTCCTATATACAAATGACAAACAGACTGAAAAAGGAATCAGGGAAACAATACCCTTCACAACAACCATGAACAATATAAAATATCTGGGTAACCAAGCAAGTGAGATACTTGTATGATAAATACTTCAAGGATTTGAAGGAATAAATTGAAGAAGAAATATCAGAAAATGGAAAGATCTCCAATGCTCATAGATAAGTAGGATTAGCATAGTAAAAATGGCCATCCTACCAAAAGCAATCTACAGCTTCAATAAAATTCCCATCAAAATTATGACACAATTCTTTACAGACCTTGAAAAGACAATACTCAACTTCATATAGAAAAACAAAAAACCCAGAATAGATAAACCAATCCTGAACAATAATAGAACTTCCGGAGGTATCACCATCCCTAATTTCAAGCTATATTATGGAGCTATAGTAATAAAACCTACATAGTATTGGAATAAAAAAAGACAGGTTAATCAATGGAATTGAATTGAACACCCAGACAGAAATCTGTACACCTATGGTCACCTGATTTTTGATAAAGAAACCAGAAATATACAATGGAAAAAAGAAAATATCTTCAACAAATGGTGCTGGTCTAACTGGATGTTGGTATATAGAAGAATGACAGATTCATATCTATCATCCTGAACAAAACTGAAGTCCAAGTGGATCAAAGACCTCAACATAAAACCAGGTACACTGAACCTGATAGAAGAGAAAGTGGGGAATAGCCTTGAATGCACTGGCATAGGAGACGACTTCCTGAACAGAACACCAATAGTGCAGACACTAAGATCAACAATTAATAACTGGGACCTCATGAAACTGGAAAGCTTCTATAAGACAAAGGACACTGTCAATAGGACAAAATGACAGTCTACAGAATGGGAAAAGATTTTCACCAACTCCACATCTGACAGAGGGCTAATAATCCAAAATATATAAAGAACTCAAGAAACTAGTTATCAACAAACCAAATAACCCAACTAAAAAATAGGGTACAGATCCAAACAGAATTCTCAACTGAGAAATCTCAAATGGCTGAGAAACACTTAAAGAAATGTTCACCATCCTTAGCCATCAAGGAAATTAAAATAAAAATGACTTTGAGATTCCATCTTACACTTGCCAGAATGTCTAAGATCAAAGACACAAGTGACAGCTCATGCTGGCAAGGATGTGGAGTAAGTGGAACACTCCTCTATTGCTTGGTGGGGGTGAAACTTGTATAGCCACTATGGAAATCAATATGGCAGTTTCTCAGAAAATTGAAAATGGATGTACCTTAGGACCCAGCTATACCACTCTTGGGCTTATCTGCAAAGGATTCTCTACCATACCACAAGGACACTTTCCCAACTATGTTCATAGAAACTTTATTCTTAATAGCCGGAAACTGGAAACAACCTATATGTCCTTCAACTGAAGAACAGATAACGAAAATGTGGTAGATTTACACAATGGAATACTACTCAGCTACTAAAAAAATTATATCATGAAATTTTCAGGCAAATGGGTGCAACTAGAAAAAATCATCCTGAGTGAGGTAACCCAGACCCAGAAAGACAAACATGGTATGTACTTACTTAAAAGTGGATATTAGCTGTAAAGTAAAGGATAATCATGCTACAATCTACAGACCCAGAGAGGCTAAGTAACAAGGAAGGATCAAAGGGGAACACATGGATCTCCCTGGGAAGGGGAAATTGATTTTGTGGGTGGATTGTAGGTGGGTGGGGATGGAAACAGAAGAGATCAGGTGGCGGGAGATGGATGGAGGGAGAGTACTGGAAGAGATAACTGGAATTGGGGGTATTTTGTGGAGTGAGGTAGAAATCTAGTGCAATGGAAACTCTCTGGAATCTATGAGAGTGACCCTAATGAGGACTCCTAGTAATGGAGGATATGGAGCCTGAGCCAGTCACCTTCTGTAACCAGACAAGGCTTCCAGTGGTGGGACTGGGACACCAACCCAGCCACATAACCTTCAACCTACAATATGTCCTGCCTGCAAGTTGTGCCAAGGCAATGGCACAGAAATTGTGGGAGTTGCTAACCAATGACAGGTCTAATTGGAGGCCCACACCATGAGAGGGATACCGTGCTGGACACTGCCTGGATGACCAGGAACCAGAGGCTGGATAGCCCAGAGACCAAGGGTAGAACCAAGCATGACTGACAAAAAAAATCAATGAAATGATTCCTAATGATGTTCTGCCATACTCATAGATCGGTGCCTTGTCCAGTCATCATCAGAGAGGCTGCCTTTGGCAGCTGATGGGAGAAGATACAGAGACCCACAGTCAAACATTAGGTGGAGAGAGAGCCCAGGATGGAGGTCTCCATCAGGTCCCTCCCCTCCTCAGAGCTCAGAGAACCACACTGAAGGTAGGAAAGAAGGAAGTGTGGGAACACACTGGTAGAGCGTAAGGGCTCGCAGAGACGGAGGCAGCAATCATGGAGCCTACCTAGGTCTGCACTAGGTCATCTGCATATATGTTATGGTTGTTGGCTTGGTGTTTTGTGGGGACTCCTGACAGTGGGAGAGTGGGTGTGTCTCTGGCTCTCTTGTCTGCTCTTGGGACCCTTTTCCTCTTACTGGATTGCCTCGTCCAGCCTTGATGTGAGGATTTGTGTCTGGCCTTATTGTATCTTATGCCATGTTTGGTTGATGTCCCTGAGAGGCCTGCTCTTTTCTGGGGTTGGGGGAATGGATCTGGGAGAGAGGAGAGGTGGGGTGAACTAGGAGGAGCAGAGGGAGGGGAAGCTGCAGTCGGGATGTACTATAAGAGAGCAGAATTTAAAAAAAAAGACAGTTCTCACCGTCTACCGTATGAATTCCTGGCACTGAACTAAGGTCATCAGGCTTGGCAGTATGTGCCTCTACCCACTGAGACCTCTCACCAGCTCCTGTTTTGTTTTTAGTAACTTTTTAAATTTTGTTACTTCTATTTTTGGAGGCAGGGTCTTACTATATATATAGATCCCTGGCTTGCCTGGAGTTCACTGTGTAGACCAGTCTGGACACAAACTCGTAGAGATCCACTTGCCTCTACCTCCTGGGTGCTGGGATTAAAGGTGTGCTCCATCACACCTGGCCCGTTTCACCCCCCCCCATGTGTGTGTGTGTGTGTGTGTGTGTGTGTGTGTGTGTGTGTGTGTGTGTGTGTGAGAGAGAGAGAGAGAGAGAGAGAGAGAGAGAGAGAGAGAGAGAGAGAGAGAGAGAGAGAGAACCTGTGGTCCATGGTGCATGTATGGAAATCTGGAGGCAGACTTGGGGACTAGGTTCTCTCCTTTCACAGTGGGTTCTGGAGATCCAACTCAGGTTGTCAGGTGTATGCACTAAGAACTTTTACGTGCAGAGTCATCTCACATATCCTGAATTATTATTATTATTATTATTATTATTATTATTATTATTATTATTATCATTATTTTTAAACAGACTTCTACACTAGCTCGGGGTGGCTTGGAACTCACTAAGTATCCAAGCCTGGCCTCAAACTTTCAGTAATCCTCCTGTCTGTACTGCCTGAAGTACTGCCACAGGAGGAGGCGGATTCAGTGCCAGCTCATAAAGCCGGCAGGTGGCAGGAAAATACAAGCATGCTCACGGACTGAAGACAGGAAGCTGTGAGCACAACTTTCACACTGGTTTCAGATCAGCCCTTGTTAGCGGCCCAAAGTGTCAAATTAATGACACTCACGAGCAGAAGAGATCCTTCCAGACAAATAAATTGTGAGATGGTAAATGAGGGGGCAGCAGGCTTCTGGTGGCTGTGGTCAGCACTGTAGGGAAGCCATGACCAACACAGAAGTGTCAGTGTTTGTATTTGGCGAACAGAGGACCCGAGGCCTCCCCACAACACCAGATCAGCAGAAGGCACTCTTGGGTATAAGTCCTTTATTATTGAGTCCACTAGCACAAGGCAGCGAGCTACATTGAGGTCAGTGGAGAGGTGCACCTCACATCTGAAGTTTCACTGTAAGCAGGTTTAAGGCAACTTCTGTCTTTGTAGAATATCAGACGTCTCACATCCATGGGCCTGCTAGATCCAGGAGCCCGTCTGGACTCCTAACAATGGGCTCCTGAATTTCTGTCAGTACTGGCGTAGAGTAGAAGCAGGCTTCACAGGTATGTAAGCAGGAGGGGAAGGGTGAGGGAGGCTTGATGTCAAGCTAGATATGCTGGAGTGACCAGGATGCAGCAGGGTCACCTAAAGACACACAGAAGAAGGTGGTATCTGGGAGTATAAGGGGCCCCCTTCCAGGAAGAAGACCCAGGCATCTGGCCCACTGGCCAAAGTCATAGTCTCAGTAGGGGCAGGAGTGCCGAGCATGCTCTGCCAACAGGCATGTGTATGTAAACCACTGAGGGGTTGGCTTCACCTCACCCTCTCTGTGGACCCAGTGGGAACAGTCTCAAGCAGCTCCACATGTGACTTATGCCAAATGGCCTGAAGTGACTTTTGACCTTTGAGGGTTCAGACATCTGAAGGAAGGTAGCAGTGGCCTCGTGGGGTCCACACTGTGGTTTAGTGTGGTTGCCAGTCAGTGGCATCGCCACCACCTGGGAACTTAGCAGGAATGCCAACTGTTGGATCTGGCCTTCCTTAGAGCAACTATGGGGAGGTAGCATCCTGTTCTGAAGGCTCCCTTGGAGGTGCTGAGGGGAGAGAAAGTGTAAGACACATCTCTCCAGCCATGGAGGGCATACATGCCACCTGGCAGTCACAAAGATGGCTGCTTTTCTTCTGAACAGCTTCAGCCGCCCTCCCTTCTCTTGCCTCTTTGCCCCAGCCCAGCAGAGCCAATAGGCAGAGGGCACTTTCAAAGCTGGAAGGGTTCTAACTGATCCATTCATTCCCTTGACTTTAAAACCTTGGAAGCTGTCCAGAGTGGCAGAGTCTGAGCTCAAAGTGGCTCATCACACTGACCTGCTGCACATCCTCCCTACAGCCTGTACCTTTTGAATATGAACCTCTGTGGCCATTCAAAGGGTGAGAAAGCTCAAGACAGAAGTCACCCTGTGTCCACTCCAGAGCCTAGAAATAACGAATGTTTAATATAGCAGAGCGGGAGGGGGCAAGAAGACAGAGAGGTCCTTGCCTGAAGGGGAGGCTCAGCATCACCAGCCAGGGCACCCCCATACCTGGGGTGGCTCTAAGAGTGGATATAATCTGGGGTTCCCTCCTGACCTCCTTATGGGGCAGGGAGAGACATTTCACATCCCAGCCAATGATCTTCACATGGTGTGGTTCCCATCCATGTGGCGGCCGAGCACTAAAGATAGTCCCTGCTCTCACTATAATGGCTGCGATGCCCCCTCCCCCGAGTGTGGCCTGGACCATTTCTAGGGGCTGTGGCCTCCTTAGCTTCCAAAATAAGATAGGTGTCTGCTTCAACTGTGAATGCAAGAAGCTGCTGGTGTTGGACATGCTGGATGGTTCCATCCAACCTGGGAGAGTTAAGGCTGCCACTATTCGGCCATACCACCACTGTTCTTGAATGCCAACTTGACGGCTGGTGCTGGGGGGAGAGGGGCTTCTAGTCCTGCTTTCTTTGAGTCCACCTGGCTGGTGCCATGGCAACAGCCATCACCACTGATGTTCAACTTGACCAAGCCTTAGGTTCTTCATCTGCAGAATGGGGACGAGAGCACATCCCATTGGTTTCGCTGTGGATAACACATTGAAGGAGGCATACAGGTCCTTAGTGAACATCCCCGAAGCAATGTCAGAGGTGCTGTGGGGACACACCACTAGGAGGGAAAGGGACAAATGCATGTAGACACCCCATCTTCTTATCATAGACTAAGGTTCACCCTTGTTCCCCAAACACTGGCCACCTGGGGCATCTGGGGGCATGCTGTGTTTTTGAGGTAGTCACTTTGAGCTTAGGGAAAGGTGACTCATGCTCAGGGTGAGGATATGCTGGCTTCAGCCATGCTAAGTTCAGGGCCTGGTGTGGGACCCCAGTATGTCTGTGCTGACCCAGGACTGAGGATGACACTCTATAGGTATGTCCTTCCCTCTCTCTAAGGAACTCAGAGTGACACCCTCTGAATAGGGACCTGTCCCTAGGGCTAAATAGGAAGAAATATCCTGAGCACTGGACATACCTCACTACAGATTCCATCCTTGGCTCCAGCCTTTGCAGCACCAAACCTGGCCTACTACGTGTTTCATGTCCTCTAATCCCATCTTGTCGCCAAGGCTGTTGTGATCAAGGGAATCACATTTGGGGCTGTCCACTCACTCTGCAGCTCGGACTGAGGCCAATGAGCCATGCTCTCCTGGGCTACCTCTGCATCAAGGCTGTAGAAATGGTACCTACTTGTCACCTCTGTCCTCATTTCCCCAAGGATTGAGGGAGTCTACCAAAGCAGATGCCTGAGGCCAACAGTGTCCCTTTGTACACTATCGATTCCCTCAGCGCCTCTTCAGGAGGAACATGGTTTGGGTCCCACACCTTTTTTGTCTCCAATCCTCCCTCTATATGAGTCTATGGAGTCTATAAGCTTGGAGATCAAAGCTAGTCTTTTAATATCTGCAAGAATCTGGGAAGACAGAGGGCAGCTAAGATTGTCTCTTGGCCATGATGTCGTCTGGAATTGTTGGGAGTGTTTTCTTTTTACTGAGCTTGCACAGACAACCCAGGGCCCTTCAGGCAGATGACATGAGCGAGCCTGGGCTTCACGTAGTCCCTGGAGAAGCCCAGAGTGGAGGAGGCTGACCCGATGAGAGCCTGATGTTCCCTCTGTGGATGCAACTACCTGCTGCCCTGCGAATGGAATTTCAAAGCAATGCTGGTGACAGCAACCAGTGCCCGTTAGTCTACCCATGTATGACTGGGAGCTCATCTCTCCCCAACAACCGACCCAGCTCAGCAGGATCCGGATGCTCTGCAGTAAGAACTGGGTCAGGTATAAGGCAAGCTGTGAGTGCTTTTGGTCAACAAGATGCCACTGGTTCATGGGGGGAGCTGAGGTTTGTTATTGTGGAGAGATGAGCAGGACCCACGTGGAGCAGCAGCTGGATTGGAGTCCTGGTATGCAAAGCTGCCCGAGGCAATAATCACCGGAGAGGGGATCCCCTATGGTTGTCTCCGAGTTGATACCTGCTCCCAACCTTTACTTTTTTCTAGGATTTTCTTCTGTCTCCTTTAACGCCTGGGGAGTTCTTCCTGAATAGTCTCTATTTCATTCAGTGACTAAAGAGAGAGGCAAAGGAGGGAATGGTGTCTAGTCCAGGACAGTGGAGAAGGACGCAGAGAGCACAGTGGGCGGCAAACAGTGGGGTCGTGAAGGAACCGGGAAATGGGGTGCAGGCAGAGTAACTCCCTCCTCACAGCTTCCTCTCCTCGGCAGCTCTGACTTACCAGTCCGAGGTGTGGTCCACGGGACAAGAGTTTTACATTCACTAACATTTTAAACCTGGCGTCCTGGGAGTCAAGACTGGGAACAGGACATATCCCTGGGGGCTGGGACTCGTGACCATCAGGTGACTCTCTCTAAGGTGCCACACACCCTGCTGTTACCAACCTGCCTCCTTAGTGCCCTGTCCTGGTGGCTCCAACAGCCTGGCCTTAAGCTGCCCCATCTTAGACCACTCCTGTCCTAGGCCCTACAGGAAGGGCATGGCCAGCTACTGTATGGAAAGATCCGGAAACCAGCTAGGTTTTGGGAGGGGGTGAGCTAACCCAGTCTGCCCAAAGTGGAGAGCTGGGTGGGATCCTCTGCCAGTGGGAATCACACACCAAGTCCTACAGGAGTCTTGGAAGGACCCATCTTCCAGCCTTCTATCCCAGACTCAGGCAATGAGATGGTACAGAGGATGCTGAGCTCTGGCTCTCCTGTCGTCCAGTGTTTCATGCCTGGCAAAGGACTCTGGCTGCCTCTTGCCAGGACCATCCCTTGCCAAGGATCCTGGCAGTGAATGAGTGCTAATAAATGGAGGAGTGAGCCGAGGACCCTGCCCAGGTGGGACGTGCAGGAGCCACAATCACAGGCACTTGGTGGGTTCTGCATAGGGTGGGGGCAGTCCATGACCCAACTGCTGACTCTGCAGGCCTGGTTCAGGATGTGGGGACGAGGGCCCTTGTGCGGGGTAGTCAGCAGGCTACAGGGGCCTCCTTTAATAAAAGTGTTGCTGGAGCCTTCGGTGGAAGCAGCAGGTGAGAACCATCCCGCAGATCTGCCAGATGGAAAGAACAGAGAGCACGGAGACATGAGAAGCCTATAGGCTGCTGACTGAACGCGGGAGGCAGTTGCTCACACTGGAGAGGGCTGGATATCTACACCCCTTCGAACGCTGCCCACCTGGAAGGGCCTGTGTTTCTCGAAGGATCCCAGGAGATGCTGATGTGGTAGGGGGAAGCTCTGAGAAGTGCTCCCCAAAGAGTATGACTGTGCTATAGCCTAGTTACACAACACATTTCAGTTCTGTGGGACTGGTTGGGGTCCAGTGGCTGCCATCCTTCCCAGTACTCACCCAGTCTGGGCTGCTGGCCTGTGGGCCTAGAGGTTCTCTATATACAGCTCTGCTTATCTGACTCTTCTGTGACGACATTGCCACTCACAGCAGAGCTGTCTGAAGCATCTCTACTTCCTGCTGCCCCAGGGTTCCAGAACCAAACCAAAGCCCGCCACAGTTCTGGGAGGATCGCTCAGTGTTCCTATGAGCTCATTGTGGAGACTCTGGCATCCTGTCTTCTGGTACCCCTACTGGAACCACGGCCTGAACAAAGACACAGAGGATCCTACCTGCCCAGTATATAGTTTCCGTTCCCAAACTACAGAGGAACTGTGTTCTCCACCCCATGCTCTTTGCTCTCCCACCCCTGAAGCTACCCTTCCCCTCTCCTCCTTCCCATCTAGGGATGCCTTGGGGACAAGGAGATGGGGTTGTGTCAGAACAGGTGCCCCATTGCTGTCATCCTGGTCCTGATGGTGATGGTGTAGTGGCTTCGTCTCCACTCTGTGTGTAGGACAGGAGCCCTGTGTAGCGGTCCCACAACTGTCACAGGGCACAGGGGATGAAGTTGAGTGCTTCTAGGTGAATCCTGTCTTTCCCTGGCTTATTCTACAGATCTGGCCTTGGCTGTGCAGGCCTGGGTGCTGATGGAGCTCCAGCCAGAGTGGGACTAGACCTGTGAAGATGAGCATAGCCTGAGGCAGCTGCCTGTTTTCTCAGGTTATCTTCTGGTCATCCTGGACAGGTTTATCTCTTTACCTTCCTGGCCACTCCCCTGCTCTAGGCCCAACAGGGTGAACAGCAGCCGAGGCTACATGTGCTGCTTTCGGCTTTAGCCTCATGCTAAGAGCCTGCTAATCCACCTCAGGGGCTCAGACTCAGAAGCCCAGAGGCAGCTTAAGAGGTTATCTCACCTCCACTGGCTTTAAGCAGGCATGGTCACAGCAGTCCACAGACATGCACCCAGGGATTGTGGCATGCTCCTGTCTCATCTCATGGTTGGATGCTTTCCCCATGGGTTATTGAGCAATCCATAGACATGCACCCAGGGGTTGTGGCATGCTCCTGTCTCATCTCATGGTTGGATGCTTTCCCCATGGGTTATTGAGCAATCCATAGACATGCACCCAGGGGTTGTGGCATGCCCCTGTCTCTGTCTCATGGTTGGATGCTTTCCCCATGGGTTACTGGGTTCTTTTTGATGCACACAAAGGGGCAGGCGGGAGGAACCTCTTGGACTGGTCTAACTGTGTTGTAGGCTGTATTCAGCTCTCCTCCGTAACGTATGCAGTTACTCTAGATGGTCTTGCAGGAGTCAAACTCCCTGACATGCATTATTTATTTGAGATGGGTGTCTTTAACAATCGTAGCAAGTGCATGGGGTAAGCACTGTCATTAAAACATGTCCATGCACACATACATGCATATGCCTACATACTTTAGTTTGAACTCTACGGGATGATACACTCATTAGTGTTTGCACACATGCATGCATACATGCACATGTTACACACACACACACACACACACACACACACACACACACACACACACAGGTGTATACACATCCACCCTGAAGTATCCAGAGGGTAAAGGATAGCAGCCCATGAGGTACCAAATGAGTACCAGTTTCTCCATTTTGGCAGAGGTCACAGAGAAGCCAGCATGGGAGGTCCGAGCAGCCAGCAAGGGACATGAAACAAGAGAGAGAATGCAACATAGCCAAGGGTAGCCTGTCTCCTGGGTTTGGCTCCTGCCACCAACTCCACTTGCACAGGACACAGGGCTCCCTTGGGGAGCTACTCGGGACAGCACTTGGCTACATGTGGGCATTTTTAACAGGGAGGCTGTGATGCTCTTGGTTTCTTAAGAGGCTTCTCAGCCAGCACTGGTGGTCTCCAGACAGCACAAAAGAAGGGGTGTGGCCCACGTGACCTTTCCATCCCAGACTCACCTGTTTTCTAGGCTCTAAAACACATCGACGTTCTACTTGTGGGCTGTCAAGGTAGGTTCTGTTTCATCTAAGCACCTATAGGCTGCGTGACCTTGGGGTGGTAACGTCCCTCTCTAAGCCTGTCCCAGTAGACAAGATTCTTCCCAAGTTAGAACGTCTCATGTCTGAGAGAGGCTAGCAGGGCCTCCAGGACTCAAATGACTGACCATGTGAGGCAGTCAGGCCTTTCACATGCTGGCTGCTCCCGACTCCCCACTCACTCTGTAGCCACTTCCTGCTATTTCTTGTCAACCCCCCTCAGAACTTAGTACCCATCGCCTCCAAGAATGCTCCCTGGCCTCAGGGATGGCCAAGGCAGCTTTCATTTTTCTCCTGTGAATCCAGCGCACGAGCGAACGCTGCTTGACTGCAGGGCAACGTCCTGTGTACTTGTCCGTCCCTCCCCCACAGGGATGAAAGCCTCCACACCTGCCCTCCATGGACAGAGCATGCCTGCTACAAAGCCGACGACGCAGAGTGTGCCGCTGAGCCTCCTCAGAGTGTCCTCTGGGCGGGAGGTGCGTCCTCTGTGTGTGAGGACAGCCAGAAAAGATCCCTGAGCTACTATAACCTTTTTTAAGTTTCCCAGATAGAATATTCTATAAATTACTTTCTAAGATTACGCCGGAGTGGAAAGCCACCCACAAGAGAGGAAGCCGGTGGAGAAGAAAGAGCACCCGGAGTAGGAGGCCTGGCTGGCGCTGCCACAGTGGCTGTGTGATCCTCAGCGAGCGACTTTCCATCTCTTGCACTAGTTAGTCATAGTCAGCGTGTATGAATAAGATGGGGGGCCCCACAGCCCTCTGCCCTGCGTGAGCACAGGTTTGACGGCCTGACAGGACCCTTGGTGTATGGAGCCACACACTGAGGCCATGGCAAGCCTGGGAATGCTAGTGAGAGGAGCAAGTGTGTGCCCAGAGGACAACCTCTCTGAGTGGAGGGGCTCCTCCCTTTAGCATTCCTGCGCTCAACTTCTGCTCCAGCTTGCAATCACAGAGACAGTGCTCTGTGAAGGTCACAGCTGGGCCATTCCATCTGCATTCAGAGGCTTCTGATGGGCCTCTTTGTACATTCTACCCACAGTTCCCATCTTGCTGCTAGACTCCCAGGGACAAGTCCCCATGTGACTTTCTTCTCGCACGTCCTAAGCCCCCCATAACTTATCTTTAGCTCCAGTTGTCTCCGCTGGAGTCCCTGAAATCTGAGGAAATTTGAAGACATACCGAGGTCTGGCGGCTGCCTTGGTCATTGTATGTACACATACTGGAGCATAGCCCTGAGCCTTGGATGGGTTCAAAATTTGTCAAGGGACCCTACATGTGGCCAAGGCGATAATTTCTCCTGAGCATGCATGTCATGGTGCAAGTGTCATGACTTCCCCCGAGCATGTACATCTTGGTTGACATGTCCGTAAGGCAGTGATGGACAGGCCACCAGACACCTGGCTGAGATTAGAGTGAATAGCCCGGTACTTCTTGCCTAGTTTCCAGAGTTCACAGACCATCTGTCTAAGGTGGCTGGTCAGTGAGATAGGAACCTTACCAGAATGTCTGGGCCATAGAAGCATAAGTTGCTAAGGGATGGGATAGAGCAGCAGATTCCAAGCTGTTTTGGAAACTATATGTGTACCTCAGGGACATGAGAGCAGTGGGTGGTGGCCCTCATATTTGGCCTCCCTCCTGTTTCAATGCCAACAGCTCTGCCTTCTGAGCCTAACAGACCAGTCTCCTCTGTGCCATTGCCCATTGGTTGCTGCTTTATTTGTCCAGCCTCTCTATCCTACTGATAAGGACACCAAGGGATACTGTCTTAGGATGATATCCTGACCTTGGTGTTTGTGTGTGAGTGTGTGTGTGTGTGTGTGTGTGTGTGTGTGTGTGTGTGTGTGTGTGTGTGTGTGTGTGTATGGCTGGTGTCTGCTCTGGAGGAACACTACTCTTCTGGGGAAGGGCTGATTTGGGCCCTTTCTCAAGGCTGCCTGGAGGACCGGGTAGTTAATGTCTGTATTTGGCCAGTAGAGGGCACTCTAACCGAGGCTTGGCCATTATCAGCCTCCGCTCAGTGACCCACAAGGGAGAAACCTAGGCAAGGGGTGAGATGCAGAGTCATAGTATGGAGCGGTGTCATGGTCTGCAGGTACATTGCCTGCCCAGTGGCCTGGCCCCTGGACATTCGACTTACATAGCAGCACTGATCTGCTCTGACTTTGGTCTCTAAGCATTTGCAATCCTGTGCCTGGTCCTCTGGTTCATTGTCTTTGGCTACAATTTCTGCAGACAAAGGCCAGGAAGAAGTGGACAGAGGTGGACCAGGTCTGGTCAGTGTCTTTCTAGGGCAGTCCTCTAAAAATCTGTGTGATGGGTCTCAGGAAACCTCAATGAGCCAGAAGCTGGAGTGACGGGTAACCCCTGCCTGGTCCCAGCAGCAACTCCTCTGGGTTCACTACAAGGGAAATGCAAAGAAGGGCTCTGTAGTGCCCCTGGGTTCCCTAGTCTAGCATCAAGGAGACCAAGGAGCCACTGGGGGATTTTGGAGAGATGATGGACCTGTGTAGAAATAAAAGCTATGAGCATCTTTTACGGGGTACCTGCATCTGCTTGGCAATGAGGCCCACGATTTGTACGTGTGACCAACCACCACAGGAGGCAGAGGTGGTTTCATTTTATGAACCACTGAGGCTCAGAGATAAAATAATTGGCCCTAGGTCATGTGGTCCAGCTCATCAGTGGCAGAATCAAGAAGGCTCTCCCCTGAGAGGCTGGCAACTGTCCTCCCAGCATGTGAGGCTGTAGCTGGCGACCTCCAGTCCCCCTGGGAGGGGAGTGGAACATGGTCTGGAGACACCCTACACTGGGAGTCTCCTCCAGCCAGGTGACATTAGTCTCCTATGCATTTCCTCCCCACAGGCCTCTGTGTGGGGTAATGCACTTGGGAACGCCAAGGGCCAAAGCCAGGAGCTATGGCTGCTGGTTTAGGTGGGAGATCTGTGTATAGTCTCTTTGGGTCTCAGTTCTCTGGTCCAGGAAGTGTGGAGAGTACTTTGTCCACCTAGCTTGGGTCTGGGGTGAGGATCCATTAGAAAGAAGCATCTGGAAATGCTCTGAGACCACAGAGAATCAGATAAAGCCAGCTCGCACCTACCTAAGAGGCATGTGTGTGCACCAGGTACCCTGTGTGGGCCATGTGCTCTCCTGTGCACCCCTAGCTCTTATGTAGGCAATGTGAGAAGAGGAAATGGGCCTCATTTTGCAGATGAAGTTGAAGGACAAGGAAGGTAAGCAGTGGGTCAAGGTCATGTAAAGCCAGAGCCAGACTGGGACCCCAGTGTCTGACTGTTCAGCCCCTTTCCTTCTTGGGATGCCACTTTACAGTGCTGGGGTGGGAGGGGCAGAACAGGGCAGCAGGATGCCTAGGTCCTTTTAGAAAGGCGGGGCCACACAGCTCCCACTATCGGAAGGAAGCAGGAGTATACATGAGGGATGAACCAGCTCAGCCTCTGAGGACTCCCTCCCTCCCTTGATTGGAGCAAATGATGGCACTGATGCTCCCTTCTTGGATGGAGGCTAGAGGAGGGGCGTGTAGGGAGAGGCATTGAGAGTAGAGTGCAGCTTTGCCCATCTTCCTGAAAGCATACATGTACATACATGGAATGACGTCAGGTACATGCATGCATATGTGCATAGGCAACTTAATCACACACGTGTGCACACACTCCATACCACGTACACACAGACACATGCAGCCAGTCAGATGTTTACAAACCCAGCAGGCTGTGCTGTGCACACAGGGCACAGGCTACATACCTGATCCAACACTCAGGTCAAGTTGTTCAAAGCTCTCTGGGGAATGAGACCAACAATGTGGTTCATCCTCGGTTGGAAAGGGAGGGGACAAGGGTGGGGCCGGGCCCGGCATGCATGGGCGAAGCATCAGCTACTTTCCCCAAGACCAGTGTCTGAGACGTCGGCTGAAGGGAGACATCCCCTACTCCACTTACCTGAAGACAGGCCACCCCGATGCCCACTGCACCCATGAGCAGCAGGTGCTCAGCCAGGAACTGCTCCAGCTTGGCCATGCAGCCTCCCTGCAAAGTGGAAGTGGGTTGCCCAGGCCTTAGCCCAGCAACAGGCAGGGGGAGGGGGGAGATGAGTGGCTGTCATCTCGGGTGCCGCTGAGACTGCGGGATGCCAGCCTTGAAATTCCTCCTGGCCATTTGGAGAGCCTCGGGGGCCAGGCCACGGTGTCTGAGACCTCCAGGAGGACCTGTTAGCTCTTAGTACTCTGTCAGACCTCGGAGTGCCCCCGGCTCTGTGATCTCAGGCCAAAGCTTGTGTTTTACTTTTCCACCCCTGCCGGCTGAGCTGGACTTGCCAGGGGCCCTCCTCTAGCCCCTGGGGGACCTCAGCACTTACCTCTACCTTGTAGATGTTGGAGGGGTGGGCCCGCTGGCCACAGCGCAGCACCACTGTCTTGCAGCAGCTGTCCGGCACCAGGCGACCCTGGGCTTCCTGAGACAAGATGTATGCGCTGTGCTGCCAGTCGGCCGAGCTGTTACTGCCGCAGCATTTGAACTGAGAGGAGGAGATGAAGCCGGGGTGAGAGGGCTCTGTGTGGCACTCCCGCCCCTGTGCTCCAGGGCCACTATTCAGGTTTTATAGTCCCTCTTTCCTCTGTGATTTCCCTTTGGAGAGGGATGGGGTTTCTCTGGGACCTTTCTCTGCAGGACACCCACTGGCGACCTTGTGCCAAGTATTCTAGGGGCAGGGATTATCTGTGAGATTGGGGGGCAGACAGATGTAGGGCTCTCACAGTTGTGAAGATGGGTGCCATTAGGGTGTACAGCCAGGATCCAGGGCAGGGGGAAATCACAAGGGAGATGTTCCCTGCTCATCCAGGAAGTAGTAGGACTTGGGGACAAGGACTTAACTTGCCAGAGGTTTCAGGATGCCTGTTTGGATTTTGAAGTCCAGAACCCCAAGACTAGAGGGGCATAGAGTGTGTTCCAGAGGCCAGGCAGGACACAGGGCAGTCAGCACTGACCACAGAGGCTGGTGTGAAAGCCAAGTACAACCCAGCAGGTCTGCACTTTACCACATTCAGAGTGACTCAAAGAACAAATGGTGGTCACTTGTCCCCTCTGTAAGTCAGGACACTGAGGTCCCAAGACCTTGCACAGATACGTGACACAGATACATTGAGTCTGTCTCCTGGGAATGGGTGCAGGGACATTTGATTCTAATGGTAGCCACCTACATGCCAGGAGTGGTGCCGAGGACCTGGATCTTCATTTACCATTTCTTGTCCTCCAGAGGGGCGCAGAGGAGGAAGGGGAAGTGGTTTGCCTGGGATCAGCAAAAACCTCTAAGTGTGAACAGAGAGCCTGCACGTACCTGTGCACACTAAACACGCTCACAGCATGAGAGAGCACCCGCAGGGCATGCACAATGTAACAGCAAGATGGGAGCACACACACGAGAAAGCAGCTAGCACACGGAGAACATGAACACTGCATAATATCACACCCAGAGCACACCCAGAATAAGTGTGAGAAGAGCATGACCACTGCTCATGACAGCACACACAAAGCAACCACTGGGGTGGACTGTGCTGAGAGTCACATGCAGTTGTACACTGTGTGTACTCTGTGTGTGTATGTGTGTGTGTGTGTGTGTGTGTGTGTGTGTGTGTGTGTGTGTGTGTACTGGTGCCCCTGAGCGCTGCTACATCACTTATAGAATGGGGGAAATAGCCTCTGTGGTGGGAATGTGTAAGGATGGACAGAGCGGGTGCTTGGAGAGCACTTAGCATCTGCGCAGAGCCAGCAGATACCGAAGTGCAACGGTCACCACCCTCACTGTGTGAGGGGTGGTCCGTGTGCACATGTGTCGTTTATGTACATGTGGCCCAGGTGAGGTCCTGGCTCTGATCCACCACTGTCTCAGGCTCAGTCCTTCCTGCCTGGATGCTGGCTGGGACACTCACTGCCCTAGCTTGAGGGAGGCCTGTGTTACACATATTGATGCCGTGGAGGCAGATCAGTGGCAGGCTTTACTTGAACCTGTCCCTGTGTTTGCCCACCTCGCACTTAGGCAAGCCTTGCCCTCCTGCAGGCCGCCTCCGGCCCCATCCCCCCTACTTTCTAGTCTGAGGTGCCCAGGAAAAACTGCTTGGTGTCACCTTTTGTCCACAGTTCCATGAGTGAGACACCCCAGTCAAGGCTCCTGCCCTACCTGTTGTCTCACACAGCTCCTTACACGTGGGATCCAGCAGGTACATGCTGCTTGCAATAGGTCACCCACAGTGTGGGTTGCCCCGTCCCAGCTCGTGGGCTAAGTATGTGGGGCATGACTGCATATGTCATGCGTTACCTATGTGTATACACATGCCCCTGGTCATTTTCTCTGGGATCTGCTGAGTATTCTTGCAAACAAGACTTTTTCTTGTCCCTCATGTACTGTTCAATGGCTCACAACCAGAAAATTCTTTCTTGCTCCGAGCCACAGTGGCCTGACACAGAACACTGGGGCTTTGGTGTCCATCTTTCAGAGGAAAGATGAAATTAGTTCGTAGACAGGAGGAGCTGAGAGCAGCTTTCTGTCTCGGTAGACCCAAACTGGAAGGCAGCAGGGATGGGGTTTGGACAGAGTGGAGGGAGTATGAGGAGGCCAGGGTTCACTGAGTACCCCCCATGGTGTCAGGGGCACGTCTGGAGGTGATCCTCACTGCTGCATCCCTCCACTATATGGCTTAGGTTAGGGATGTGCAGCAGGAGCTCAGAGAGGGTGAGTAAATTGTCCTGGGGTCACACAGACGGGGAGAGACAGAGGCAAGATGTAAACCTGCGTCTCTCTGTGTGGCTTACGTCCTGCTGCAGCCGGTCCATGGAGGCTGTGATCTCTGCGGCCCTCGGCTGCCCGTAGCGTTCAGTCAGGGTGCTGTTCAGGTGCTGCTTCAGCTCATCACTCAGCTGAGGAGGGGCGCATGAAGGAGTGTCAGCAGACCCCCCGCTCCGCCCCGCCCCGCAACCTTCCTCTATTCCTCTAGGACCCAGGTGTCTCTGAATCCTCCCCAGCTGGCGTCAGGACACCTAAGGACTCGGGCAGTGTTGTGAGCTGACAGGAAGACAGGTGTGAAGGGCAGAGAGCTGACAGGGGGGCTGAGGCTGACACAGCTCATGCTGTGTCACGTGGGAGCTGCTTTCCACTTGCTGTGGATTTTAACTTTGATTACAAGATGAGGCTCAGTATGTGGGCACTTGTGACCCCGGGCAACTGTGTGCACACTGGCTTCAAATGACCTGCTTGATGGGGCATACGGTCTATTCCAGCCCAGTGTCACCCTGTTCTTGCCTTCAGATCCTGAACCTGCAGCTGTATGCGTGGGAAGAGAGAGATTCTGATTCTGACTCTCCCCCAGCCAGGTAGGCAGGGCCTGCTCTGGTCTTTTCTGGTCAGTCTGCCATTTGACACTTTCTGATCCCTTCTAAGTGGCTGTCTTAGCAAGTGGGTTCCTTGTTTCGGGATCCCTGGAGGGGAGAAGGACGAACTACCTCCCTGAGAAACTCTCACCCAGGTTCCCTCATGGAACCCAGCAGTACCAAGAAAGGCAGAAAGATCTATTGGATCTGGGACAGGAAACTGGGGTGCAGAAGAGCGTCATCCCAGGAAACAGAACTACCTGTCTAGACATCTGCCTCGGCCACTAGGGCAGCATGAACCCCAGCATCTTGCTGTGACTCCCTCGGGGCAGCAACAGAAAGCTGCAACTGGACCTGGTACTTACTCTCTGGTAGTATACGTGCGCCAGGACCCCTGCCACCAGCTCCACGAGGAAGATGACCAGCAACAGGCAGAAATACTAGGAGCAAAGAGAGGAATGGTCACCCTGGGAGCCAGCGCTCCCCTGTAACAAAAGTCTCTACAAAGAAGCGGGAGGTGGCAGAGACACCTGCCAGGACTCCTATCACCCCCACCCTCCTCTTTTTACCCACATCTGGACATCACAACCCCTGCTGGCTGCCACCATCAAGTTTCTTACTCATCCCTCTGCTCACTGGTCTACAGATGTCCCAAGAATCCAACTGCCCATCCAGACTTGAGTGGACACTGACTGGATGCCAAATGCCAGGCACTGTGGATAAGATACTACCGGCTCATGAGCGAGCGGGGGGGGGGGGGGGGGGGGCGCGGTGGGGGGAGTAGGGGCAATATGAAGTTACCAGAGTGCTGTATTGTCAGTGTTTCTGTGGGGTAACCCTAGAGGCGCCTGATGTGGTGGGGAGTCAGAGCAGGCTCTGTGGAGGTGGTGGCACCTGAGGCACCTCTCTGAGAGGGGTACAGAGGCACTTGCCAGGCAGAGAATGGGAGGACCACATTCCAGGCAGGAGAAAAGCACCAACCCAGGAAGTGCAGGGGCATTTGAATTTGGACAATGGCAAGCTGGAAAGGAGAGGCAGGCTGGGCCCAGGAGCTAAGGCTCTGGAGAAGGCAAAGACCGAAGTCCCTGGATGGTGATTTGAGCGATACCTTCCAGCCCTGATACCTGCTTCCCATTCTTCATAGCTTCCTCCCGGACTTTCGGCGCCCTCGCCATGCCTGCCTCGCCCAGGCTCCCTGGGGCCAGCCCTGAGCTTCAGATACCTGTTTGTGCACTTCTCTCCTGGCTCCCACCCTGCTGTGTACTGCGAGCAACACTCCTGAGCCTTGTCAGAGTCAACAGGTCAGGCCCATGTGGTCTGGGAGAGGGATGGGGACATGGGGGGAAAGCAGACCACAGGCACCCAAGGGACAAGGGACAGAGGAGAGGGTGGAGAGAACAGAGTGAAAGTGAGGGAGAGGAGGGCTATTAAGAAGAGCATCTCTCCTCTCCCTGGAGCCCCTTCTAGCCACAACAGGGCAGCAGCCAATGGGTATTGGGGTGACAGGGCTTGGGGAGGTCACCTATGGGTGCCATTTGAGATGCCAAGCTCATGAACAAGGGAAAGGCGAGTGAGCAGGAGGAGGCAGTTGTCATGGGCCCTCAGGAGAGCAACACAGAGTCTGTAGACCTTTCCTAACCTTGAGTCTGGACCACTAGATGAGGGAGACTACATGGATAGTGCTTGGGAAACACAAGGGGGTGGGATTTCTTTTAACTCCTAGGGAAACCTGGGCAAAGCTGCCCTTTAAATTAATAGACAGCTCTCAGTAATATAATTGCATCCACTTCTTTCAGCACTGTGACAGGCCATCATCGATGATCAGGAAAAGTTGCTAGTCTCTGTAGATGGGGGTTTAGCCTGCCTGTCACCCATGGAGCCTGAGGAAGAGAGAATAAAAGATGTTCCTGATCACCCTTCCTTTTTTCTACTATGTTGTCATAGAAAAGAACACACAGTCTGATATCCAAGCTCTGTCTGTTCCTCTCTCAAGCCACACGCACCTCACCACTCCATGGCTGAGGATATGGGGAAGACAGAGTGGGATGCTGTGAGGGGTACAGGCTAGGGGCACACATTCAGTGATCCCATCTGCTGTAGGCTTTGTCTGGAGCTCTGTCCCTGTCTCTCTGTCTAAACAGGGCTTTCCAGACTGTGGGTGTCAGGCTCAGGACCAGGAATATGGCAAGGGGTGTAGGCTTCCAGTGCACATTCCTCATCCCTAGGACTCTTTAACCTGTTTGGGAAGGTAGCAGTGAATGGGATCTAGAGTAAGCTGAGGTGTCTAAGAGGTCTGTGATGCCTGCATCTGCTCTCAGGAATGAGTCTGAAGACATGGAGAAAGTTGGTAACAAGCCTGGCATCTGGGACAAGCCCAGGTTCTTGTGCTCACTGGGACTGACTGGATGGGCACCATTGCACCAAACACCTCAGACAAAGGTGGTGTGGTTCAATAAGAGCTTTGCAGGAGGGATGCTATGGTCCTCATATGTAGGATATAGGCTTTGGGGTAGTCTGTGGTAGTCCTGACCTTGGGGTTGGGTTTTTGTTTCCTTGTCAGTGGCAATGGTGGTGGCGTCACCTACACTGCCCACCCTGACTGGTTGGAGAAAACTGGACTGTCCAGAGCTCTGATCTGCTTCCTCCCAGAGCACAGCCAAGGGTAGGCTTGAGGTAAGCAGCACTTATCAGACAGTATCAGGGACCAACAGCTTAGATCAGTAGAGGACAGTCCTGGAACTACCTAGCCCATCACAACGTGTGGCTGCACTGTAACCCACTCAGGAGACTGTCCCACCACCTCACAGTCCTCAGGGCCCCAGGGCTCCTCTCTAATATGTGCCTTTTGGTTGGATTGAAGTTGTCCTGCACTCCTCTTACCCAGATGTAGTACTGAGGGTAGCCTTTGTCCTGCCACACAGGACCTATAGGCAGGGACTACTGGTCAACCCAGGCCTCTTGAATGCATATCAGCATGTCCCTAAGACATCATGGAGGAGGTGATGGAGTGCCTGTCCCTGAACAGCGGGATTGGGCTTCTGGCAGCTAGGAGACCATATCTTGCCACCTGCTTTCCTGTCAGCTGTGAGTCACTCAGACACCAGTCCTGAGGAGGTGGCCATTTCATATTGCTTCCCTGGGGAAATCACTGCTGTTGTAGCTCCTGAAAACAGGTGGGGAAGGGGGAGGAGAGAGACATGAAACCATGTCACATCTCTGGACTCCATGTCAGGTGAAACTAGCACATGCTGCCACTGGGGACTGTTCAGAGGATCCCACAGGTCATTTGACATGTTGGGTTGTTCTGCAGAAGTGGTACATTTATAGTGTGTGGAATGCCCAATGGAGCAAGAAGTGATACTCTAGCATGAGCAGGTGTCCCGTGAATTAAGGGTCGATGGAACCTGGTGCTCCAAGGGAACTGACGTGGCCACAGGTGACAGTTCAGGCAGCAGTTTTTACCGCAAGAGGGTTGCAGGTGTGTGACTCACCTGGGCGGGGGAGGCCCTGAGTCACAGCTTCCCGTGACAGATCCCAGGAGGCAGGCGAAGGTCTCAGAGGATCCTGCAGCTCTGAGCATGGGACTCATTGGTTCCAGAAGGCTGCTGGATTTGTGACAGGAGGCCATGAGCCCTAATAAATGTCTCACTCATTTCACTCAGCTCTTGCAGATGCTCAGCCCCTCTGTATGCGTCAGAGAAGCTCTCCTTGCAAACCTGTGCAGTTCCCACACCAGGCCATCTGTCTAGCCTTCAAGCTTTGCCCTCACCAATCTCACTGGCAGTGCCTACATGTCCTTCATTCCCCAGTTCAGCCCTGGCTCTATGATGTCAACCCCTGAAGATATCCTTAGCATCATTTGCATAACATCTGCCTGACTCAGCCTTGCCTGCTTGGTCCTCTTCTCTGGACTCAATTGCTTCTGATTCCTCCACTGCTGGTCTGCTGCTCTTCTGCTGTGGGTGGGCCTTCACTTGACTCAGCTGTACTCATGGCTGTCTCAATTACTTCTGCTGCATCTATCTGTCCTGTCTCACCAGAGTAACTGTGAGCTTCTGGGGATCAGAACCACATCTTGAAGTTCCCTGGCTCTTTCCATGGTCCTGGTAGGGTTGGATATATGCTCAGGGAAACAACCCTGGGCTGAAGGAGGAGTGCGAGACAGCAGGAGCCGGCAGCAAGGTCAGCCCCATGCTGGCGAAAACAGTTGAATTTTCTATCTGTAGACGACACAGCTGCTACCTCAGTTCAGGTTACTCAGTGGTTCACACAATCTGGAAAGGTTTTGCTCCGGGGTCAGTTGGCAAACTCTAGAGACATTATTCTGTTATCACAGCCAGGACAGAAGATGCTATGGACTTCCAGAAGACAGAACCAGGATACTGCTGACCATCTTTGAGACATGGGACAGTTCCCGCTGCACAAAACTACCCAGCCGACATGCCAGTGAGTTAGAGGTTGGGAAAGCCTGAGACAGACTCCCCTTCAGGTTCTCAGGCTGATGCTGAGCCTTGATTTGCATATGTGTCCCTAGGCACTCTGGGACACACAGAGGAAGACTGGAGAAACCGACTCACTTGCCAAGAAGTCAGAGATGGAACCCAGAAACACAAGCATTAGAGGGATTTGATTCTGCCTGTCTGGAAGGACACATCTGCACATGAAACTAGTCAGCTTGACCTAAGCAAGGGTCAGGAGGCTGGAGTGATGATGCCCTAGTGTTCCTTTATACTGAAGCATTTTCTCATGGCGCAAAGAAGTTACAAGATTCATGGCCTCTGCCCAAGGTTACATAAGCAGGAAACAAGCGCTGGAGAGGGGGACCTTTGGGTGGAGCACTCTGCAAGCTGTCCAAGGAGCACCAGGGATTCTGCCTCCTCTGTGCTGGGGTGGGCTTTTCAGTCAGAAAGCTGCTTTTTAGTCACCCATGCTCCTGTAAGGAGAGCCAACCAACTCACTGGTTCACTAAGCTGGACTTGAGTGGAATCGTTTCTTCAGTCTGTTGTTGGTACCCTATGTAGGGTGACTAGACATGTGTTCACATCTCCCAGGAAAAGCCATTTAACCCCTGGGAAACTCTACTCTCTGAAGCAGTGGGTCCCTCTGTTTGCTCTTGGTGACCTGGGGAGAGGTATATTGCCATAGGGATTTCATAGGAGTGGCATTTGCCTGGGTCCTGGGGACCCAAACTCTGGTCCCCACGCTCACATAGCGAAGCCTTTATTTCTTGGAACAATCTACCCAGCCCCCTTGATAGCTCATTCATGGAACAGTTTTAACTAGAAACAAAGTTGGATCCTTTCTAAAATGACAGATCTGCAAGGAATCTGGGATTGCACAGTATTCTCTGAAACAAACCAGCATATTTTATAATGAGAGGCTCTGCAGGAAATCTACAGAAATATGTGTCCCTGGGACATTAGGGCAATTAATTAGAAAC